AAAACTTAAAATTTATGAAAAGTTGAAAAATTTATAAAAATTGAAAAATTATGAAAAAAATGACAAAACTTAAAATTTATGAAAAGTTGAAAAATTTATAAAAATTGAAAAATTATGAAAAAAATGACAAAACTTAAAATTTATGAAAAGTTGAAAAATTTATAAAAATTGAAAAATTATGAAAAAAATGACAAAACTTAAAATTTATGAAAAGTTGAAAAATTTATAAAAATTGAAAAATTATGAAAAATTTATAAAAATTGAAAAATTATGAAAAATTTCTGAAAATTGAAAAATTATGAAAAAAATGACAAAACTTAAAATTTATGGAAATTTGAAAAATTTATAAAAATTGATATTTTATAATACCAGAATCATATTAATAAATTTAAATTGCATTTTTTATATATTTCAATACACGCCTACAAAATTATAATTTAAATAATTTTATTTATATTATTGACATATTAATATTTATAAACAACATCCCATATAATTTATAATAGTTAATAATAATATGTATTGGTGATTTCCCGATGATTAATCACATTAAAATATTGTTAAACACGATAATATCGAGATGTTATATGGGTAATGTTGTTATGAAATTATGAAAATTTTCAAAATGCCTTTATCAATATATTGTTGCCATCCCTAATCACAAGGAGCCTTCCGAGTTTCGTTATAACGTCGAATGTATCTTTTTTCCGTGCACATTTTCGGTATTGTTTCGTTTAGACTTTATATCGTTTGCAACGTTTATGTTCCGCAATGTGATAGGTAAGTACGTCCCCTCATTCGGGTAGCGCCAGCTGTAAATGCTTCATGATCTCATTGATTAGTTTGGAACAAATAGCTTTTTAGAGTATTAAATGTTTTTGAATATCGTTTAATTACGTCGACTTAGGTAATTGAAAAAAATCTTTTCGAAAATTCGTATTAATTTCTTATTATGAGGAATACAAGCAGAACCCATTGTTACTCAAAATATATTTTTTAAAACGGTTATCAATTATTAAGTTAAATATTAGTAAGCATTTGTTGACGATGGACCATTGTAAAGATTTTATTAAAGCCGAATTCCCTTCAATTGATATAGAAATGTTTCAATACATTGAAGGTAAGACGCAGTGATTTTTACAGTTTATGTGGAATGAATTTTTTAAATGTGTATTAATTGTGCGAAAAAATACATAACCAAATAATCTTGATAAAATTTATGTATATAGTAAGTGTTGAACAACTTTACTAAAGTATTTTTAACAGGTGTTTTAGAAAATGGAATTGAAGACTTCCATGATTCTGAAGATATATATGAAGCAATTGGTGAAGTATTGCAGGAAATTGCAAATAAGTCTGAATCGGACATCAGGTAAAATCATATCTGAGAAGTTTTGTCTTTTTATGGATTGATAGTGATTATTAATTATATATTTCAGAGGGATCTGTTCAAAATTATTGCATTTTATGCGTCCTCATTCTAATGACAATGTATCAAGAAATGGTCTAACTAAAATTTTAGATGCTCCAGTGCATTTAGCATCAATGGCAGCAGATCTAGAAGATAATGATATGGAAATTAAAAGTATCTGGGTGAATTCGAGAGATGATAGTTTAGTATGTTAATTTTACATTTATGAAATTAAATCATTTTTAATTTAAATGTATTGCTAATTTATAATTTCAATATATATTCTTTTTAAATTTATTTTCCATAGAAAGTAGATAAAAAAAAACTAGACAAAGCTCAAGCAAAATTGCAACAAAAACAGGATAAACGGACTGAGCAAGTTCTTAAAGGTGTAGGAACTATGAGTGTATCAAATAATAAAATGGATGGTGCAACTGCTTCTCAAGTAACAAGTAAAAAGGAAGCTAAAATGGAAGCTAAAGGAAATAATCGAGCTCAGGATATAAGGATAGAAAATTTCGATGTTGCATATGGAGAGAGGTAACAATTACTGTTATATTTAATACAAAATAAAGTAAATTTTGAAAAAAAAATTAAATTTTAGTAATTTATATAAATTTTTCTGTTTTTAGAATATTACTCCAGAATACTGATGTAACTTTAGCTTATGGTAGAAGATATGGTTTAGTTGGAAGAAATGGACTTGGTAAAACTACATTGTTAAGAATGATATCGGGGTAAGATTTTTAGTATAATGATCAATGATCCATAACTTATTAAATTTAATATGATATAAGACCTAAATAATATATACTTAATTTTTATTGAATTAGATTAATAACTATTATTTGGTTAAACTATAATTTTTATCTAAGTTCTGAATACTTTTATGCAATAATTTAATTTATGAACTAAACACGTGAAATATTATTGATTGTAAATAATAGTATTTATAATTAATGATAACATATAAGATGGAAAATAGTTTTTTTTTCACAGATGAAACTATTACATGTTTTTTTAAAAAAAACTACATTTTTAATCCATGCAATTACATTTTTAGTTTTACTCTGATCTCAAAGTGATATTAAATATTTATAGTTTATTGTTTACTGTAGAGGTCAGTTACGAATTCCATCTCACATATCTATACTACATGTTGAACAAGAAGTAGTTGGTGATGATACACCTGCTTTAGAATCTGTATTACAGTGTGATTTTGTTCGACATGGTCTGTTAACTAGAGAAAAAGAAGTTAACACATTGATTGCTAATGGGTAAAACAAACTATAAGTTTATGGTATTCTTGTTATATGCAATCTACCGCAAACCTGTCATTTGCCATGAATCCATTTTTTTTTTATATGACATCCATGAATCTATATATATAGATGATATATTTTCTATAGTTAAAACACTTAAAGAATTATGTTAGCCAAACATTTTTATTCAATTGTTCATTAGAGAAAAATACCATAGCTTTTTTAAAGTAAAAAGGTTTTATTGAAATCAACACTTTTCTATTTATTTACTGTTGATCGTAATCTAAATTATATACTTGCAAAGAAAAAATAAAAGAAAGAACTGAAACTTTTAGTTTATAGTTTTTTTTAATTTCAGTTTTTTATGACATATTATACCTATTATAATATACTAATTTACCTAAATTTTATAATTCATTAATGCATGTTTTTATAAAAACATGCATTGTAGACTGCATATGACAAGTAGAAATAGCCGGTAAACCGCATACGACAAGAATACCAAGTTTACTATAAATAATACTAAACAATTTTATTTTGTTATATATTATTTTTTAGTTCGCCATATAGTGCTGAATTATCATCTGAATTAAGTGAAATATATATGCAATTGAGTGCCATAGAAGCTGATAAGGCTCCTGCTCGAGCCAGTGTCATTCTTGATGGTTTGGGTTTCAATCCAGATATGCAAAAAAAAGCCACTAAACATTTTTCAGGTGGATGGCGTATGCGTTTAGCCTTAGCTAGAGCACTTTTTTCTAAGTGAGTTAATAATTATTGAAAAACTATAAAATAATTATATTTTAAAATTGAATGAATCATTCAGAAACATTGGATATTGGTCCAAGAGAACATGATATACTATCTTTATCTAACAATATTATAATGGTCCTTTCTAAAAAATTAAAATTGCGGCTTCTAGGTAGATATTATAGTTAAAAATGTGTTACCAGTTTTAAAAAGAAATATGATCTAATGAAAAAATTATAATATAAATAGAATAATTGTTTAGAAAAATGTATTATGTTTTAAGATTTTTGTTGAACATTTTACCAAAAAGATATATATATCATCTTAAAAATGCTTTATTAATAATAGGTGTTTAAATTTGAATATGAATCTCAGCACCCCAGTTTTAATTTTGCTTATTGTAATATTTCGATATCATTGATAAGATAGATGAAGACAGTGTATTTGAATATGTCTTATTAAAAACATAATATTTAATTAATTAAGTATATAATACAATCATCTAATAATTTTAATTTTAATTTTTGTTTTATACGTATGAGTTATAAAAGTGAACACAAATTATTTATTCTAATTTCAATTAATAATGGGCTTGTTCCTTGTTTGAAATATATGTAATTATGTAGATGACAATAATAACAATAATAATAAATTATATACAGTTTTAGATATGAGGTTTATACTTATGTAACTTAAAAATATAAGAACACCAATTAGAATTTAATTTTCCTTTAATATTTAAATGTAAAAGAAAAGAAAAAGTTGTCTGAATTAGCAAGAGACATAAAGTTGCCGAACAGCTCATAGTTTCTAGTGGATGCACTGTTTTGAAGAAGTTATGTGGCTACGAGAAATTTGTAAATAAAGCGTTAAAAAGGTTATGAAAATTAATATACAGTTGCAAAAACTTTAATGGGTAATAGCATGTTTCTAATTGGTAATTCAATTATGACAAAGTTGATGGATATTGAATGATAAAGTGTTCATTATGAATACATTAATTAATCTAAATAAATTATCTGTATTATATACAATTGTTGTGTGCCGTCGTTAAATTGTAAAGATGTTGAAGATTTAGGAAAATATTCCAAATAAAAATACTCAATATAGTTAAACTGTTAATTTAAAATTTTTCTAAGTACAAATAATTAATTTAAAAGATGATCTAGCGTGGAGGTGCTCGCTACTACTCGTATAAACCACATCTAAATATTGGTCTATTCCCAAGCCCCTTATATACTTAGGTCTTGTGAGAATCAATTGCGCTGCACTGTGTGAAAGTCGTTTTCGATTATTATAAATACAAGATTTATCACTTTAGTGACCTCGTTAATATTGCTATTCGCACATCTTCCATATTTGTCGTGATTCTTTTTAATTACATTTTGAAATGTAACCATACAATTCACATATAATATGTATTTGTTTTACCTTCTGATTTTAATTAAAATTCCTTTCTATTCATGCGAATGTGAATATTATATTAATTATAATAATTTCCCGATTTCTATTATTTATGATTTACGTGCCCATGTTGTAAGAGTCGTAAGGACCCACATCTATGTATGTCCGTAACACAATATATTTTTTTTGCATTGGTTAGATAAACATTTTTAAGATCTATATAAATCATTCTTACTATATTATATAATTATTATATTATTTTTAGCATTTATTTATTGAAACTAATAATAAAAACTCAATATATACTATATATATGCAAATAAATAAATATGAAGTTTTAATATATTATTATATTATTAATAATAATTTATATTTATTACATTTTAAACAGACCAGATTTGTTACTACTTGATGAACCTACTAACATGTTGGATATGAAAGCAATTATATGGTTAGAAAACTATTTGCAAACTTGGCAAAGTACATTGCTTGTAGTATCTCATGACCGTCATTTCTTAGATTCTGTACCTACTGACATATTACATCTTCATACTCAGGTAATTAACATTCAATATTATTTTACTGTTCATATTTAAATTAATAAAACTATTCTCTTAGCGAATTGATACTTATAGAGGTAATTATGAAATTTTTGAAAAAACTAAAAATGAGAAGCTTAAAAATCAACAACGAGAAATTGAAGCACAAATGGCTCATAGAGCTCACGTACAAGAGTTTATTGATAGATTTAGGTATAATGCTAATCGTGCTTCTAGTGTTCAGAGTAAAATTAAAATGCTTGAAAAACTGTGAGTAAAATAACATTATCTAAGTTCCCTCATATCAATTAAAATAAATTATTATTTCTTTATTTTAGACCAGAATTAAAACCTATCGAGAAAGAAGTAGAAGTTGTTTTACGTTTTCCTGAAACAGAAGGATTGTCACCTCCTATTTTACAACTTAATGACATTTCATTTGCATATCCTGGTTGTGCTAATGTTTTACAAAATGTTAATCTTGGAGCAACGTTAGAATCTAGAATATGTATTGTAAGTTAAATAATTATTGCATGACATAACACCAGTTTATATTACAAACATACTCACATTTGATTAATATAATCCTATATTTTGTCTATGTATAATATAAATTAATAACAACTAAGTTGTTAACTTTTCTATATTGTTCATAAATACTGCACAAGTACCAATTATTTAGTTTAATGTCTTTAATGTGCCTTATTTTATACTTTCCATCAACTATCAATAAATTTTTTAAGATGGATCTATATGGTCATTAAACTACTGAAGATATGGATATTATATTATATCTGAGAAATTAATTTTATTATATCAACTCATGAAAGTTTTAACCAAGTTGTAGTATTCATTAGTCAAGATTTTTACTTAATTTTAAATAATTTTTTTATTTATATACTATATTTATAGTAAACACATTAACATTGACTTTAAAGTACATAATAATTAATTGTTGTTGATTTGAGTTACCATTTTTGTTAAATTTTTAATTTGAAGTGTGGTTTTTATTAATGAAAATAAGTGTACTAAATAATAATCAAGTTTATTTGTCTGTAATTAAATTAAAATACAAAATATTCAAGAAATTTATATTCTTAGCATTTCACTATATGAAATAGGTAAATCAAGAAATGTTGTTAAATAAGAATATTTCATTATAAATTTTTTTTTTTTGAAAAAGTGTTAATAATGCGTTCTTTCCTCGACATACAATTCCTATTAATTTAATCTTTGTTATCAAATTTAATCCTTGTAATTGTTTTTTTTTTAATTAAAAAAAAAATTATGTTTTAACATATTATTTGTCATTCAATTAAATATAATTAATATTTCAATATTTTTGTTTATTAGGTAGGTGATAATGGAGCTGGTAAGACAACACTATTGAAAATTATTATGGGTATATTAAATCCTACTTTTGGGGTCAGAAATGTGCATAGAAATTTGAAATTTGGATATTTCAGTCAGCATCATGTAGACCAATTAGAAATGAACCTTTCTTCTGTAGAGCTATTACAATCATCTTTCCCTGGTTTGTTAATATTCACTTAAGATTAGAAAATATTTACTTTAATTTATGAAATATATTTGATTATTAGGCAAAACTGTAGAAGAATATAGACGTCAATTAGGAGGATTTGGTATATCAGGTGATTTAGCATTACAGAGTGTTGGTAGCCTATCTGGAGGTCAGAAATCAAGAGTAGCATTTGCTAGAATGTGCATGTCAAATCCAAATTTCTTAGTACTTGATGAACCTACCAATCATTTGGATATTGAAACAATCGAAGCTTTAGGGAAAGCATTACAAAAATACACCGTGAGTTATTATGAACATTTATTATAGTTATAAAGTACAGTGTAACATCTGGTTGTGTGATATATTCAATAATTTAATATTTTTTTGAGATAATAACTATTCTTACATATTAATATCACCTAGGTTCTGAAATTTATGTGCTATAAAGTACTCAAATAAGCCTTAAAAACATCATAATATGTGGTGTAATAAGCAATTTACAAATAATATATAAGGAACATGGTGGGAAAAAAAATAAACACTGCACACTTGTGTATTATTGTATCTTCCTCTTATACAAGCTATACAATCTTCATCAAATTTTAATCTTGAGTATTAATGTATAAATACTGATAATGACCACTTTATATTATGGTGCAATAATAATGTCTTGGTAAAAATAGATAAAAATTAATTTGAACTGGTCAGCGATCACTACTACGATTTGTAATATTTGTAAAAAAAAATTGTTTTGTTAAATCTGTGAGTTATGCAAATAAAAGTTCTTAAACCTAAAATATGAAAATTCCTACAAAATATATAACGAAATATGTAAAATTATGCTATAAAAATGTTTTTATCTTAAATTTGTGTACCATGGATCAAATTTGTATCAAACTAGAATTTCAATATATACTTTATAAACAAATATTCAAATGCCTAAAGTTCCTAGTGTTGATTATCACATTTTTATTGTAGATTTTAAATTTAAGTTCATACATTTAACATTTTAGATAATAATTTAAAAGTCATAATTGAAATCAGTAGAATGAACTTTATTATTCATATACTAAAAAATTAAGATGATTATTATTCTTATTAAATTCTGAAATTTGATACATTTTTTAATTATACTAATATACTGTAATTTATTAAAATCTTTGTTTAATTTAATTTGAATTTAAATTTTTTTAGGGTGGTTTAATACTTGTCTCTCACGACGAACGTTTAATTCGTATGGTTTGTAAAGAGCTATGGGTTTGTGGTGGTGGAAATGTTAAAAGCATTGAAGGCGGCTTCAACGAATATAGAACCATTGTGGAACGGGAACTTGCGGAAGCTGCTAAGTAGACAAATTTTTGTATCTACAATATTATTATTTATTTATATACATTTTTCACTTGTTTTTTTTTTAATGCCATTTAAGAGAAATTTAATGAAAAGTGAAAACATAAACTTTGTTATAAATATCGTTTGTAACGGTTTAAATAACATAAAAGTGTGAGTAAGAATTGTTTGTAAAATTGTATGATTATTTGTTATACTGGCCATAATCAATATAAAAATATTGAATATTCAAAATCTTTGATTTTTATTTGTTTTAGAACCTTAACTTTGTAAACTTAACTATGTTAAACATATAAGATTGAAGAAACTCACATCTTAGTGATCATCAGAGTTAAAATTAAGAAGCCAGGAACAATGTATTGTTTTTATTTCAAAAACTGTTTGGTTGAAAATAAATTATTGTGCCAATATTATTAGTTCTTGATGTAAAATAGTTATTCTCCTTCTGCATAAGTAAGCTTGTGAAGAATTAATTTAAGTTAAAATCATTCTATATCAAATTGCTCATTATAGATTGTAATACTATCTAAATGTGTGTGTGTAAATATTATATATTGATTTAGATATTAAAATCTTAAACGATTATTTTTTCTGTGATGTTAAAATAAAAACAATTAACACATACTTATTAAAATTTATAAAAATATTAAAAAAACAAATATGAAATTGTAATAATTCATTTTTATCATTTAAAATAAATGTATTTGTTTTTTATGTATGTGTTAAAAATATTTATTAAAAATAGTTTAATAATAATATTTTAAAAATATTAATTTTAAGAACAATTTTAAGTTTTTTTTAGACTTCATCATATTTCTTAAATGATAAATTATCATATTTATACTAATTTCTATATTACATTATTTTTTACTGTTTATAAATAAAATTAAGAAGTACAATATTTAATATTAATAATACTTTAAAATTGTAAAATATAATTCCATTATTTTAATATGGCAATTTATTTCAGTTATAAATAAATATTTTTGTAAAAAAAACATCAAACTATTAACTAATACATTTACCCAATGTTATTGAAAAATGTAAAAAATACTGATGAATTACACTCAAATGTTTTTTTATAATATACATGTGAAATATGATAAATAAACAACTTAAAATAAAATAAAATTTTTTTTGTATATTTTTTAAATTATATTGAATTAACATTTCCATCAACTGAAAATATTTTTATTTTTTATTTTAACATAATAATTGATTCAATCTGAAATGTACATTAAGCAATCTTGTTATTTTAGTATAAAAATTAAAGACATGATAAATGTAAAACACAATCAGAAATTTTATTTAAAAAAAAAACTACTTTTTATAGATTAAAGTATAACATTTTGAATAATTATTAATATATGGTGATTGAGTATTCATTAAAGAAATAATATGTATATAATATATTATTTAATTTATTTTTCAAATTGATCACACATATGATTTAGAATAATTTTTCCAAATATTATTTAACTTCTTCGCATAATTATAATATTACCTGATAAGACAAAACGAACCTCATCTTAAAAATAATTAGTACATCCTGTCAATTGATGATTCTGTAGAAAATTAGGTTATACTCACTTCCCATGATATGCGCAACAAATATAATCTAGTCTCTATAACTGTTTGGTTGTTCAAAATTTATTGAACAAGCTGAAGTCCACTGTTGGTAAAAGGATGCAAATTCAAACATCTCCTAAGATGTCAGATATTTTACAACAAAATGCTCAACCCAGCATCTTATACTTTATGCCTTTTAATAATAATAATGATAATAAAATTTCGAAAATATTTTATCTCTATGCTCTTGGAGCCTACTGTCAACGACAAAGGAACTTAAAATTAGTCCTGTCTGTTGCCCACATTTGAGAATTACATGCTTTGCTCATTATTGCGGTAAATTCAAAACAGTGAATCATACTTGTGATTATGTAGAAATAAAATTATAACTTAATGAATTAACTTTTTCTAAGCAGATGTCAACAAATAATTCAACGGTTTAGAACTGAAATAGATTTTATTAAATTTCCTTAGTTCTATAATATTTATTAATTCTTGTATTTAAAAAAAAAAAAAAGTATACTTTGCAATGTATACGTATAAATGACCAATTCATAAATAGACATAATATTCATATAGAAAAAGTATAGTTTTAAAAGTATAAAATAAAATATTTTATACTTTTAAAAGATTATATTATTATTTTATACTTTAATAAGATCCAATAAAAAAATTAAAAACCTGTTAGGAGAAGAGGACATAATACAAACACTTAAAGGCAGAAAAATGAGCTGGCTTGGACATGTATGGAGATCGAATGGCATAATGAAGGACGCACTTAAGTGGAAACCGGAAGGCAAGAGACCACTGGGCAGACCGAAGAAAAGGTGGATAGACGAACCAAACCAGTTTTTTAGGTTACTTGGGGTAGATAATCCGGAAGAATTAGCGAATGAGAGAGAAGAATGGAGGAAGCTGTGTGGAGCAGTGATAGGCCTTAATGGCTTACAATAACTGAAGAAGAAGAAGAAAATTAAATATTTATAGTGCGGGTTTAGTAAATCGAGTCCCTCGTATAAAAATTAAAGCGGTAATTTAAAATGCTGTTTTATATTATTTAACACATTTTTAATTATATTAATACAATTGTATACTACGTACATAAAAGTACGTAAACTTACATTTATCAGTTATCACATATCACATTCAACGTTATTGTAGATAGTTAGGTACATAAAAATGTCACGTAATAATACGGAGCGAAATATAATAATATTTAACGATGTAATGATAAGATACAATTATCTATTGTACTCGGTGAATTTATAACTATATCAACGATTATATTTATAATTTAAATACATTCAAATAAATTTAATAGATTAAATATTTTAGACGGGACTCAATTTGCCGCTTCAACTGTTATAACATATGAGGGACTCAGTTTACCTCTTTAAATTTTATACGTGGGACTCAATTTACCAATTTCAATATTATTATTTGGACTCAGTTTACCTATTTCGAAAAAAGATAAATTCGTTTGGGACTCAATTTACCTACGCCCTTATAGTGAATAATCATGTTAAACTATCGTCGCTTTTTTGTATATTCATCATTGGAACCGTTCATCAATTTTTATACACGAATATTTTACCATAGAACAGTGGAGTATGGTTGAATTGCATTTATTTTAGTCGAATTGTACTTGGGTTTAAAAAATGTAATGGTGGAACTGCACTTGGGCTCAAAAAATATTTCAATAAAATTATCATGCATTTGAAGGGGTTAGATTTATTTTATTTAGTTACATTAAGTATCATTTAGTAATCATTGGCGTGGTTAAAAATGATTGTTTTATACATTACATTATGTTAATTATATATATTTACATTATAATTGTTATATTATATTAGCAGAATTGTTATCTAGTAAAAAATCGTCATCAATATTTGTTTTAATTTCTAATTTGTTAATAGTGTCATGTGTGTCATTAAGAGATTTTGGTAAAATCGGATAGTTTTCCGGTGTACATGATATATATTTTTTCGTATTCGATTTATGTCGTTACTATTTAATAATTGTGTTAACTCTGCAGGAGCGTTAACGATTTCTTCCCTAATAATTTTTAATAGTTTATAATTACCTTGGTCAACTACTTTTCTTTTTGCTGAATTTGAAATAATTTTTCGTGGTAGATTGAGTGGTTCTTCATAGTTGTGTATCAACTCACACCAAAAAATTACTTTAGAACATTCACTAGATATAGTTTTGAAAGACAACCAAGATGGGTACAACGCTATTTAACTCCACCATTTACATGTTTTTCTTTGTAAAATGTATAATTTTGATACACGATTAAGTCACGGCCTCGTTCACTTTTAATAATTTTTAAATTGTTCATATTTATACAGTGACGTAAAAATGTGTGCTAATTATAGTGTACATGGGTCTACATAGTACACGATATTCAGTATAAGTATTAATCTTATATTTGTATTGATAACTATTTATTATTCAGTTAGGTCAGATTCTTTTGTCGATTTTTGGCGACAATAATATTATCTGCGTTATCTAAATGGCACGAACTAATAATAAACTCGTAAAAATACACATTTTTATGTCATAAAAACCAACAAAAAATCAGTATTCAAATTTCAGGTCTCTACTCAAAGATATTGAGTGTTCTCAGTTAGCATTTACACACCGTATAATACTATTAAATAAGTACTCCGTAGCGTTCTTTATCAGAAAGATTCGTAATATTTTTAAAGGGTTTTTCATTTTGACTCCTTTTTTTGAACGAGTGCAGTTCGACCACTACCTGCTTTTTACTCGGGTGCAGTTCGACCATTACCTTTTTTCAATCCAAATGCAATTCGACCATTTATTTGTAGGTAATAAGTGCAATTCGACTATTCCGGAACAGTGATGTCCAACCTTTTATTTCTCGGCGGGCTACTTTGATTATCTTGGAGCATGCATATCTTCATAAATCTATTAATGTTATTTCGTTGCGCATAGTAGGTATACAATATACGTATATTGAATTTGTTTTCAAAAGTCCTATTGACTACTGAAAATATTACAGATTTGAGTGCACACGTTGTAGACATACATTGATTTGATCATTACGCTCTTGGAGATATAGGGGTTGTATTGTAAAATGTCTATCTGAAAATGCACGAAAATAAAATTTATAAATTTTAAAAAATATTTTATAATTTTTTTTTTTTATATTTTGTTTTGTTTTAAAAAAATTTGTAACGGGACACATTGAATACCTTCAAGGGCCACGGGTTGGGCACCATTGCCATAGAATATTAATTATTAATATACACTACACGATGAACTTTTTCGCGTTAAAATATTTAATACGCAATATTTGTTTTACGCCGAGTTCAACAGCGTGGTATTACAATATTTATAATTAAAAGTAAAACCGATTATCTTCAAAAGGTCATATTTTAATAATAATAATAATAATAATGAGTTATGCTCATGCGGTTGATCGCAAACGCGAAGCTGTAGAAGTATTACAATAACATTGTAGTGAACGACCGGTCGTCAATACCATGGGAATATTGATAATATTTTGGATGCGATGTAATCGATCAATTGCGTTTAACACACGTAAATCCTTTATGAATGATTCGTAAACTGTGTACAGTTGATGACACTATTGTTTGGCATACGTATTATTTTAATTTTCGTGTAACATTTAAACGGTGTTATTAATGACTACCGTCATCAATCATAGCGAATTTTAACCGTCCAAACAATATATTACACAATAATAACGGTTTCTATCGTCCAATCGTCGGCACAATATTTGTGCGCGCGTGCATTTCGATGCCTATTCGCCTTATTATCTAGGCGTTTCGTGGCTTTCGCCAAGACGTATAATAATAACAATAATAACGATAACTTTTTTTATCGCATACATCGTTAGTAAAACATTGATAAAATGTATTACGCATTCGACGTGACGAGTTATCTGTTACATTACCGTAATGAATAGGAAGGAACTTCAATGGAAAAAAAAAGATACTAATGATTGTTGAACTCAAATGTTATGTATATTATATTTTATTCTTTATTAAAGTATTAAAATAATTGAAAAATTGGATGACAAAATAATTGAATTAATAGTAATAATAATTAAAATAATAATAAAAATTAAATATTAAAAATAATGTTATTAAACAACAGCAATGTGTTTGTTTTAATTTATGTCTAATAGTTGAAAAAAATAATAAATAAAAATGTTTATTCTACCGACACTAAATGACGACAAAATAAACGTATAATAATAATGTTAGTCGTAATAATAAATACTAAATAGTTAAGTAAACTTGGCTTGAAAAAAAAATATTAAAATTAATATTAAATAATTTAAGTATATGAAATAAAATAAATTGACAACAATTAAAATATAAAAAAAATACTGTGCTTTAAAGTCTAAGGACGAAATGCCTTAAAAATTAAATGATTTTCCCCTAATGCCCTTTAATTTGTACGAAAAAAGTTAATAAATTAAATATAGTATTTTAATAATAATTCTTATACAAACGTAAGAATAAATATATGATTAAAGGAATACAGTTCAGGTAAACAATGTACCATTGTATTCATAAAAAAATAAATATAGTGTATATATAAATATGAATAAATAATGAAAAGCCAAGCAAAAAATTCCTTTCCTTATAACTAATAAAAAAGTAATAATAAGTAATAAAAATTGGAACATTTGACAGATTTGGTTGCATTCAGGAATATATTTGTGTAAATTTATGTGGCCAGCGACGACGAAATAAATATGTGTGCTCTTGATGGGGTTCTTTTCGGATTTCATCGACGGGGCGCGTCCTCGTCAAAAACTCAATTAACCGTCATCGTGGACTCGGCGTCGTCGACGCTGCTTGCTTCGGTAGTGGTGGACGGTGGCCTGTTCTTGCAACGGTAAACGTAAGCGTTCACGGAAAGATCGTCGTCGGTCTTCAAGCAGGCCAGGTTCGACGGGCACTCGCATCTGCGCAGAAAATCAAAGGACCCGTTATGGAAACGTGACGGAAAAAACGGAGGAGAAACCCGATCGAGTTGGGAGGAGGGTGGGGGTGAGGTCAACTCACGTGTTTTTCATGAAGTAATCGATGCGACGTGTAAACGGTATGTAGATGGCCCATCCGCAAGGGGTGTTCTGGTGGCAATGCTTGGTGCCGGGCGGAAGGGTCTCGTTGGCTGAAGCGACATCCCTCTGGAAAAATCGAACAAAAAAACATCAGTAAAACCCGGAACAAATAGTACGAATAAATATCATCGCGGGAAATACGTTACCCTGTGAACGGAAGCAGCGCTGGCCATGGGGGACAGCAGGCACAGGCATAGTAGTACCGCAAAAATGGCTAAAAGAACCGCGTTTGTCCGGAGAGTCCAGCTAAAGTTCGTAGCCGCGGCCAAGTCCCTGTTTCTGGCACCGGTCTTGTGCGCGTCCGGAAGCGTCGTGGTGTTATTCCTACACATGATGTTTTCGAACGATTCCATCGCAGTCATCAATTGATTGTTGATCGTTTTTCGTCTTCTCGGACTTGTGTTTGTGGCAGAGACCAACGTGATCAGTGCGCCGCAGACGAACGAATCGGAAAATATTGCTGAACAATAACAATAATATTATTTCAGTGGACGATTGGCTTCAGACGAGAGACGATCGCGTTTGAACAAGCGAAAATAACGATGTTGGCGTTCGTAAAGAAAAAGAAAAAAGCAAACGAGAAACGTCCAAGTCGTCGTGTACGTCTTCGGAGGAGAACGGAGTAACGATACGATGTGGAGTGCGACGTGTTTGCCGTATGGTTCGGTGTGTACAGACTGTTTCAAATTGAGGCGGGCAAATGGGTTTTATATAGGGTCGACTCAGTGGGGGGCCGCACTGAATGGAGAGACCCGCTGGCTGCCGACCGCCGTCCGAATCCACAAGGTGTACGGTCGCCGCCGCCGCTGCCGCCACCATCCCCCACTACCGCGTCGTCATCGCTGAAGCCGTCGTCGCTATCATCACAGCTACCACTACCGCCGCCACCGTCACCGCCGCCGCCGCTGTTTGAACGTTTCGAATTACTTCAATTATAATATCGTAATCTAAGTTGTGGTACAACACTTATTTTCCGTCCGGCTGATTCATCGCGGAAATTCCCAGAAGAACAACTTTCATTCGCTCGCAGCGCGATCAGTACGTTACAGGACCGTAAACGGTGCGCGCACCGAGCGATGACAACACGTACTCTTCGTGCGGACGTACTGTACGCCAAACAGACAATCCCGTTCGCCACGGGTGCTCTCGCGAACGGATATCGTACGACAGGCGCGCAGAGTTTCACATCGTTTCCGCGATACGCCATTGAACCCTTGGCCGCCGCGCTTTAACGGTTCAAAATTAAGTATGTACAGTATGGAAATCTGAAAACGTTAGGTCCGTGCGAATGAACGATGTAACGCGATGTCGGGTTGTTTCGATTTTTCAAACGACATTGGACGCGCGCGCTTACGTTTTAGGTCTAGGTCTCTGCATGGCGTACGCGTGCGAAACGGTCCGCCGTCGCGGCCAAGTTGAGCCACGGGCGCACACCGATTTCTATTTTTTCATTTCTCCTGCTGCAGCAGCTCGTCTTTTCTTTTTGCTCATTTCATCTGTTGTCGAATTATCCAGCGAAACGCGTGCGTCGTGTGTTAACCAACATTACGGCGTGCGTCGTAAGCAACGATCGAACGGTTATTTTTTTCTCGTACGTTACCCGTCTTAAAGGTCTAAGGTGACCAGACACTTACCCGTACCTACCCATGTTCGCGCGTAACAACAAACACCTATCTACGTCACTGATCATGCTCGTTAACATCACACGTCACAGAAACGGGTTATAAATGCGGTTGTGCAGGCCGCTGTGCGTATGGTTAAAGTGTACAATAAAACGTAATACAATACATATATGCGAAACGGAATCCCGGGCCAAGACCTCATAGAAGACACTGAGCAATGATAAATATTATAATGATATTTCGTTCGTGAACACGAGTCTAGTGTATCGAATATCCTGACGACAATAGTATACGCCAGAATTAAAACTTAACTACGCGTAAAAATACACTCAGAACGTAGTCATAATGATACGTAGATACTAGTTTGTTCCGTTTTAATTAAAATATATTTAACGTGTTTACGTTATACCTAAGATTCAAGAATTTTTTTTCTTTAAATATATAGACTTTGAAACATATTTTAACGTGTATTCTTGTGAAATCTACTGGGTCAGAGTTACCTTTCAATAATATTTTAAAATTTAGATAAATACTATATATAGACTTATATACCTACTACTAAATACCTATACAAACGCGTCCGCAGGATAATATCCCACCCGGGACAAGATCAAAGTGCTAAAGCCAAATCAAAAAGGTTATTTTAAATTTTAATATATTTCTAATGTCTTCATTCTAAAATAGTATAATCTACCTACATAGAAAAAAAAACATTATTCCATCACATAAGACCCTTATATGTGTAAGTTCACAATACAATATTAATATTTTTTAAATACATGTTAATGTAGATTTTACAAATTAATTATCAAATAAAAATTATATGCGTCTTGGTTGCATACAACATTATTGGATAACATCTTCAATAATTTTTTTTAGTTTTTTTTTCATGCAAAAACATCGTAAACTAATAAATACGTTCAAGATTATATTTTAGATTATCTAAAAATATAATAATTTTTATTAAACTTCATAAATCGATCTCAATAAAATTATGTTATAATTATTATACATGACATTAAATTAACAATAGTTTTAAAAAATTCCCAGTAGGGGCAATGGTCCCTTTGGCCTCCCCTTGCGGGCGAATTTAATACGCATTTGCCGAAAACCTTGATAAACTCTATAGATATATGTTTTCTATTGGTAAGATAAATAATTGTTTTTTTTTTGTTGACATTTTTTTTTACATTGCACCTATATAATTTATTATCTTTATATATTATATAGTTAATAACTATTTATAATTTAGAAAAAAAACAACTAAATATTTACGGGATTATGGGATTATAAATAATTGTTCCCCTGATAAAACGGAATAAAAGGATATATTGTAAGAGTATTATACAACATTTAAGCATAATACAGAATATGATGGATAGATATAATATAGGTATTTAAATTATAAGAGTTTAGTGTGAAAAATCGGTGCAACCCAAAAATATCAATAAACCAAAATTATGGTTACGGAATAGAAAAAATAGTACTTCTAACATTTTTTAAATTTATTTTCTTTTATTGTCTTTTAAAATAGACATTGATATTTATTAACTGATGTAACAATTATTACTGACACAAGTTCTTCAGTATGTAATGTAAGGTTAAATAATTGATACTCGTGATCATAATAGGTTAGACGCTCTAACATTTTTTTATTAAACAGAACGCAAAACATTTTCGATGAAAATATTTAATAAATATAGATTTTAATAGGTGTTAATTTATTTTAGTTATATTTTATAATTATTTTCATACTCTATTAACTTTATCCATTATATAAATGTATTTACATAAATAAATAATATAGTTATAATATTTTATAGATAATCATGTTTCTTGTATTAAATATCTTTAAGGGAAACTGTTATTAATCGAACCATTAATATCATATTTACATAATAATGAAAAGTAAAGATCCAAAGCCTAGCAAATCGTTTTCAATTCTACGGTCTAAGACGATCTTTTGGTGGACGTGCCACTATTTATGCTCTATAATCGATGTTTATTTTTTAGTATATAAAAGCTCGTAAATCAAATTATGATATTATATTAATGTACGTTAACATATTAAAGTCAACAAAATTGAGTGCTAAAACACTTAAGTATACATTTCTTCAATTCATATTTATTTATTTATGTGCTTTTTTAACTATCAATTATCATTAGAATGCTTAAAGTCTTATAAAAATAATGTCATACAAACTTATAATAAATATATATATATATATATATATTTGATGATGAATATTGTTTGATAAAAGATGATTTTATGGTTTATGAGTAGAATCTGCAATAAATATGTATTAGACACTTAGCAAAATACAAGTATATTCGCTAATTCTTTAAGAGATTTCGACTCTTAAGCATACACAGTTATAATAATTTAGATATGTATATATTACACATATTTATTTTATAGAAAATGTAGGCTAAATATGCTTCTATATATTTTTTTCATTAGTTAACGAGGAATACACATGCTTGAAACTATAAATGTTTTATAACTGTCAAAATGGACTGTAATATTTTTATTTTTATAGCTTCTTTCTATCAACACTTTGTTAACTTTAAATATATTTTTGAACTTACAGTTGTATTCAGCCATCTAAATTTAAATCCATTAGATCAAAAGTTATAGAAATCGAAATTATGCTTTTCAAGTATAAGGTGTGAATACATACATGACTAATGCATGTGCGTTTTATCACGTTCTAATCAAACTTGAAACCGGTTATATTTATATTATTTAGGTCTCGGTTATACATAATTTACATAATTATTTTTTTTTATATTTAAAGAATAATGTCATTATATTTGAATGAATATTATAAAAAGTGGTTTGTGAAAATGAATCAGTAAGAATTTAAGTGTTTTCTATTTGTACCATAAAATCTATGTGGACACTTAAATTATTGTTAATTATCGGTCGTGCAATTTAGGATATCTACTACCTTCCTAACTTCACGAAGTCTCGCTTATCATACTTTTATGGAATTTACATATCGTGTAAATCAATTTTTGTGGGTAAAAGTAAATTTTTTTACAAATTAACGGTAGCCCATAAATATTATATACAGACGGCGTGTTGAATGTTAAAGTGTCTATCACATTTTCTGCGTTAAAAATATTATAAGCGTAACAAACTAAATGGATTACTTACCTTACGTTATAAGTGTCGTTTTATGACTAAAAACTAAAATCGAATATTATTATATTATGTAGGTTAACTATATATTATATGATTTTTTTTTTTTAAATTGTCGTTTCTACGAACTGAGTTGTTAAATTGTATGTTGTTTTAAAATACCTTTTAAACTATAAAATATGTGTATAAAATGTTTTGAATATAATAACCACGAGTTTACGATGTATATAATAATATTCTCTTATATTATTGTATTTAGGTTTACTAATTTTGAATTTATTTGTATGGTGTTTTGTAATCAAATTTTTATTAATGTGAAATATAACTAATATACATAATATGAGTATAGTTGTATTATGAACTTTGATTACAAAATTAGAAAATACGAGAATTTATAATTTGCTACTATGATTAAATGATCTAGAAGCTTAAAGGAAGTTTATTTAAAGAAATTATATTCATTTAAGAATACAAGAATATTCAAATTAAAAATCGTGACAGAAATTAGCTTAGTAATTACAGATTAGTAATGATAATGAGTAACGGGAGTGAACAATTAAATTTGTGAAGTATTTTTAAGTTATATATATATATATATATATATCTGATCAAATCAGTATTATGCAATTCATTATCATTATTTTAAATATATTTGTTTTAGTTTGCTTTTCCATAATTATTTTAATTGGATTAAATTATCATTAAATGCTGTTGTAAAATTATCATGCCTTTGATGGTTTTTTATTATTTTTAAATTAATTTTTGTTAAAAGTATATTAATTTCATACATATTTATAAAAAATAAATATTTTTATTATTTATAGTAATATTTCTTTTTAATATTTTTTTAAATAAATTATAACAATAAAAACACTATATTCAAGTTTTTGTATATTTTTTTCTTGTTTTGAAATTCATTAAAAATAAAATTATTTTAG